GTCTGCAAAAGCAATTAACTAAATCACTACAATACATCCCAAAGCTGATTATTTACAATTATATTTCAAATTTATGGATGTACTTTTAAAAAAGAATAGCTCCACGAGTCTGAGTTCCAAATTAATATCAAGAAAATAATAATTTATTAATCTGACCTTTTGTCAGGCAATTTCATAAAATGTTTTGATTCTCAGTGCTTTTGTTGGGTCACAAATTTAGAGGTTATTTGTGGGATAGAATAATGGAAGGCATAGAAGGAAATTAACCAGACAAGACCACACTTCCATTAATAATAAACTATTTTACATAATGACTTTAAAAGCAATCTTGTCAAAGCACTTATGTACTAAACACCTGTGACAGTGTTGCTGAGGATGCCAAATGGCCCCCTCTCACCTGTAACCTTTCCTGAGCTGCGTAATTGGATATGTGCTCACACTTGAAGACATTAACAAAGCAACAGTCAGTGTCCGCCCCAAAAGACAATTCCTACTGTTAGTAACCTGGTTCCAAGGCCCGGCTCTGCAAAGAAAGATAGAAGCCCACTAGATGAAATGTGGCTCTAACTACTACTACTGCAAACACGCTGACACAGTCCACATGAACAGCAGCACAACTGGCTGCTGGGAGTTTAGTAACACACGTGTGGTCAGTTTTGAGTCCTACAAACCTTATTCTGTGCTTAACACTTTAAATATATATTTATATATTTATATATTTAGAGTGCTTATGAAGTGAGTTGGCCTATTCAAAGAAATGGATTATGAGAACTGTGGAGCAAAAGAATTTGGCAAGGCCATTCATGTGGTCAATTGAAATAGACAATGAAAAGTTTCAACTGTAACCTGTACACTAACCTGTCCTGTAACCTCACCTTATACACGTGGTCATGTGGTGAAAAATGTGAGGTATTCTAGTGCCCCCTAGTGTATACTGCTTCCAGGAGCATGTTCCCCTATCTGTAGTGTTTTGAAATTATGTAGTACAGCTACAGTACAGCAGTCTCATTCTATGATTATATTTCTAGATTTCATAATTTATTACGTTTTTTTTTACTTTCTGAATCTGTTTCCACTGTGCTGTTATTCTTACAAAGATTACAAAATTATTTTTTTACACATCTGGAGACATGCATTATTCCGTTTCTTTTAAATCCCAGCAGCCTCTTACACCCACAGTGCACTGAGTGAACCTTTTAAATTGCTGCAGAGGCCTGTCTAGACTGACACTGCATGATTAGACCTGCTTATCTCAGCCTGCTGGCTTTTCCTGTACGTCTGCGCACAAGACGAAGCTGAACACCCTTACAAAAAACTCATGTCCCCATTTTTATTCCCAATGGAGTTATTTGTTGTGTCCAACAAGTTTGCTCAGAAGTACAAATTTAAAATGGGTACTGATGATTCATTGGCCTTGTTTGTGTAAAGTAAGGAGAAAAAACCTTTCCATTGAAAGGAGTTGTACTTTTCAGTCGTCATACTTACTGAATTATTTACAAAGTGATTTCTAGTTACTGCCAGAGAGGCTATCCAAAGAGATATTCTTGGGGCTTTTTCTTAGGTGATATTTATGCTATGTAACATTTTTATTTGGGATGAAGCTATGGTTTTAGAAACGTTGATTGCAGAAAAACTAATAAATGGTTAACAGTAATAATAAGGTTTGTTTACAGAGCTAAACAAAAACTAATTGGTCCTCAATTAGCTACTTATGACCAAATGAGCTTGAATGGCCTCATGTTTATATTCTTTATTATATTCTTAGCTATAATATTAGTTTATTGCGATTGAGCTTTTGTGAATAAGACTATGACTGAAAGTATGAAATCACACCTGGTGCCCACACAACAAAATGCCATCCATTTCTGTCCAGTTCAAAAATTTGTATTTAGGGGAAAGTATATATAATTCCCTGTGATCCAGGCACACTGAAAATCACACAGAGAAAGTTGCATGTGAAAAACAAGTGAAAGAAGACATCAGCAATAGCTCGTGAATTAGAACAGACACTTTGTAAAAACACACTGAATCTGAAAGCAGCGACATTTCTCGGTGCCCGTTTCATTAATGATTACTGTGTTAAATTATTGATTTGTTCTATATGTACGGCAGACCATATTTGTAACTGGATGTATATTATCATGGTGACTTCCTCGTGCCCAAGAATGAAGTGTCAAAATTGTGTGTATGTACAAACTGCTGTACAGGATTCTGATATTTATCCATTGTTCTAACTATTTCCACTTGCTTTTTCCTGATTGAAAACACCAGAGGCTTTGAGCAAATTTCTCATGTTCGGGAATATATGTATATTGCATCTCCTGATTGTGTCTAAAACAGTGTATATATATGTAATGTGTATATACTGTACTGTATGTATGTAATACACTTCCTCCTGGTGCTCTTGCTGGACTCCAGCCATCTACCAGTTACTTGTGTTGGATGGGACAACCACCATCCTGCTGCCTTCTCACAACACATTTGTGGAAGTTGATAGCTCTGTCCTGTCCTATTGCGAGTCGCAGGTGGGATTTGGCAAAGCCTACTTTCCAAATCATCCTTCCCTTGAGACAGAGTTTTTCACCATTTGGGTTTCTCGTCTTCCTGCCTTTATTTTGTCATTTTTACCATAACATTTTAATTTCCTTTCTGCAACTAACCACCCAACAGTAGCCACTACAAGTCTAAGCAGATAAGGGAAATAAACGCATCAATCTATGAGAAAGTCAGGGTTGGGGCACACTGTGGGGTATGCCAGTACATCACTGGGTGATGGAGAAACAGACAATTTAGAACAGCCAATCATACCTACAGTATATTATTTTGTTATACAGGCTGATTTCCCCACGACATTCATTTCAGGCTATATGTTATGGTTTATTAGTAAAAGCATGATTGTAAAAGCATGGATATGTGCTTTAAAAATAAATGACAATCAAACACCTCCCAAATCTATGTAAGTGGCAACAGCCATTTAACATCAAGACACCAGTGCTTCATGGATAAAATGGTTCTTTAAAAGGTTATTAAAATAGTTATTAACATGTAAAGCTATTTGACTACAAACATTTATTGCCTGATCATATTTTGTTGTAAAAAATGAAACGTTAAATATTCAGGAACTATCTCACATATAGTATTTCACAGTAATACTGCCTTGAAAGGAATTACAATTAGTCTTCCATAAAGAAGAAAACATATACTTATGAATTATTTTAAAAGTGAAAGTTAAGTGAAAGTCTGGAAATTATAGTATGTGTCTGTACAGCACTTATATCGAGTCACAAATACTGTAGCTTAGTTAGTAAAATGTATTAATCCTTGAAACCTGTCCTTACATAGACAAATGGAAACTATCTAAAAAATAATCCAAGGGGAATTCCTCTGCCTTGCTGCAGTAGATGAAAAGTGCCACAAATATGTGATTCCCTTTCTTTGTGAAATTGGGCTTTCAGAAATATACAGGAGTCTGATTATTATTATTACGTTTCTACAACTATCTCTATGTTTTCTGAACTGAAAAGACACATGCCTTTGCATTTTGTAGTAAAATCACTGATACACAACATTCTGATCCCTGTAGAATCTGGAACCTCTTTGTTAAATCGTAATGTCTCCCACATCAAACAACTGCACAGATGATTGTAGGGTAAAATAGGTTTCTTTGTGACAGTTACCCACTCCTCAGTATCCACAATGAATTAATTATGTGGTGGGGGGTGATTTTATCATATGCTTTACTCCCCCAGCACAAAATATCTGCACCCGATCACTTCCTCTTTCAGGGCCATGTGAAATAATGAATGAGCAAGCCGGATCACACTGGCACCATCAGCCCAAAGACATGCTGTGTGATAGATATACACACAGGCATGTGTCTTAGGGTTTTATTACAGTAAAGATATTAAAATAAGAATTTTTCAAAATCCCAAAATATTTATACAGAGGCTTCACATATTTACAAAAGTATTTGGGGATCTTTTGAAATCTTTAGTTTGCTATTCTTACAGTCATATTAAGAAATAAAAGGTTACAGGTATTCCAAATCATTGGTTTTCTTCTCCCCAACATGTTCTGCAATGAGGAGTACACTATTTCTGAAGATTAGACAATTAAGCAGTGTAATTGTGTTACAGTAGCTGGATTATGCGCAACACATTCGATTGTCAAATACAAAAAAAAATAAAAACAGGAGCCCCATAGGCTTTCAGCATTAGATGTGAAAATCTCTCTCATTTGGCGCAGTGGTCTGCTACATCAATGTGCTCTATCTCCCTAAAGAATTAGAACCTGGATTTTCTTTTCCAGCTTGAGCCCTTCACAGGCTACAGAAGGTACAGTACAGCAGCAGTCATTACTTTAGCAATTTATTTTGCTTTCAAATTTAATCTCATCCATGATAACATGGGTTTCTTGGGGTCACTGGTTTGTGTGAAAACAGTGGCTGGGCTTTACGGGAGTCAGGACCGGCTCCCGTGACACTCACTGCCCCACCCCAGGAAACACAATTTAATGGAAAGGTACCGAAGAAAATGTTTCATCCTAAAAATGTCATTTACGGGCAGAACTGTGTTGAAAAAGCAGCTGTATTCTGTGAACAAAGTATGATTGTACCCAGCGAGTCAAGAACACGGGATGTTTTAATGTGTTTATCTCTGCTCCAGCAAAAAAGGCAGATACAAAACTGCACGTACCTGTAACTGTCTTCTCTGTCCTTCAAGGCTAAGACCTACAGTATAAGGACTGGAAAATTATTGTCTTGCTTGTCTTTGTATTACTTACCAACCATAATGAAGTAAACAAGTTGAGAAGTTTCACCAGCTAAGTGTATAAAATAAGGGACCTTTTCCTATTTTACTTTGGAAATCAGCTCGCACTTGCTTCACAGACTAGTGGTTGCTGTCTTTCCCTGTTGCGCAATATGAATAAATGCCTTACTGAGTGAATGAGAACACCTTTCCTGGCTCTTCTTTGATAAAGATTCCACGACAACGACTTACTGGATGGAGCTCTCAATGCGCGTGATGGTGAGGAAGGCCGCCAGGTTAGCAGTGTATGATGAGATGACAATCAGGGCAAACAGCCACCACACTCCCATCATCATCCGCGTCGCCAAAGTGGTGTAGGGCACTTCGCCACCTGAAGGAAGACAGAAGAAGAGATTCATGTGCCGGACTGCCTGTAAGGTGTGGAAACGGCCTGATATCAGCCTCCTAGAGGACACACATCATAGGACTTGTGTTTTAGTAGAGAAAATACTCAAAATTCAATTGAACAAAATCATACCTGAACAGATGATTAATTTAAATATATACACGCAGTATTTCAATACAGTTCCACAGTAATGAAAACATCCATATTGTACATAGGGTAGTCTGACAGTGTTTTCCAGAAACAGAGCACTCCGAATGAAACACATGAAATCGGATTTTGATTCCTGGCTTTTCATTGGGATACATACAGTAGGCAGTTTGGTTCAAACCCAGAGCCGGCAAAGTGGAGGCAAATAACAAAATTAGTCTGTTTAAGCTATTAATGAGCTGATTCAGTTAGTCAAGAGGTTTGAAATCCAAATGTCTTCATTAGCCAAGATATTCCTCCTACATGCCAAAATTGTATTTCATACACAGTTGTGGAATAGAAAATGTCATTTTGTCAAATATGACTAAGTAATGAACTGTGGAAGCATGACCGTGCACTCCTGAAACACTTCAACGGTAGATGTTTAAAGCTAAATCACACTGCTATTATTATAGGTCACATATTTTACTCAGCAGTAGAAAGAGTGGTTGAAAGTACAGGTGCTCAGCATACCTTTCACACATACCCACATTTCCTAACTGGAAATAATATCACAATAAATATGAATATAATTACAGAGAGAAAACAGGAGGATGTGGAAGTTTCTGTGCACCACTATGAGCAAGATGAAACAGAATTCAATGCATCATAAGAGGTGTGAATTACATACCACATCTGACAAATAATGCATTTGCTCTATTAGAGGGTTCTATCTATTGTAGGCTATTTCAAATTAGCTTCATTTTTCTTTGTGAAGCATCACATTCACATGTGTAATAAGTAGCAGGCATTTTCACTCCCTTCAGCAAAAAAAACTCAATAAAACTTTCAACACCAGATGTCTTTATTGTAGGCTTCTGGATAGGTGTCTTGCAATGACAGCCTTTGGGCAATATAATATTAGCATACAGCTCACATATGTGCTGCTTTGACATGTAAATAAAAATAAAACATTTTATTTCTTCAGAATTAAACTTGATAGATGTGCTTGCTTAAGGATAAAATTACATTTTAATTAACTGCACTGGGTATGTTGTCATCTTTGGATACTGTTGTAAGTTGTTTCGCGTGAAGGGCAAACTGTAATTATAGGTATTAATCACTTTGCACATACAGAGACAAAAATCCCAACATATGTAGATGATTTATCTAGGCTGGACCTCCTCTGTCTGCTCCTGTTTATTCTTGAAATTAATGTTTGCAAAACACTAGCAAATTAATATGCATTCATATGGGATCTAAGGTTTTGTTGTGTATAGATAGAATTGTTTTGAGCATTAAAACCCTATTTATTTTCATTTGCCAGAAAAGGGAAATGATCTAAAGGGAAAGACAACACAAATTAAATTATACACATTTTAGAGTAAAGAGTTCATCTAGAAATCCAAATTCGATAATATAACAAATTTTTGCAAAAAATCTGATCATGTCTTTCTTTTGGAAAGATGGGAGGGTAGAAGTACTTATAGGAAAATCTGAAAATGTGTGGCTTTTATTACTCACGGAGCTGATACATTCAGATCAATCTCTTTTTCTTCACTGTTGTCACCAAAATCAATAATTGTTCCCATAGTTTACATAGTAATGTTAGAAAATTCCAAAAACAATGAAATAGAGAAGCACCAGATGCCAAAGTTAGGTTAAAGTTGATAGCCAGCTTGCTAACTAATAATACTAACTTCTAATTTCATATTACCACCAAAAACAATCAAACACTTCACAGTTTTGCATTACAGACATAGACAACACACCACATATGGTGTGAGTTAAAATTATAAGTCATGCAACAACTAAGATACTTTGAAATAGAATAAGGAACATGTTCCAGGGTCGTATTTCAAACATCGTCAGCATCAGAAAAAGTCTGCCTTCATAGAGCACGAAATAGTGAAGTAAATATTCCTCAAAGTCAACACAGATCAGAACAAAGAGAAACACTCACGATGCAGGAGAAGGAAAACAGCTAATCCACTTCTGCAAGTTGCAGAATACGACTTGTCCAGGTTAGTTCAATATGAACAAAAAGTATTACAAGCTTACCAACTTTCCCTTGTGTTTTAAGACTGGTTTTGTGTACTGGATCAAACTGTGAAGCCCAGCTCTGGGCAATCTATAAAGTCTTTCTACTTTGGTTTGCAGGGCTTTCCATGAATGCCTCAAGTCTCCACTTATGACTCTGTAATTATGATTATGCTGCAGGAGTAGGAGCAAAATCAAGAATTTAAGAATTTTATGACTCCCTGTTGCCCTGATTTTCTACCATCCCGAGGTGGATAAATGATACAAGAAATCAAAGAGAAACTATTTTCTCTAATAAGGAAAAAATACAGGAAACATAACTTGTCTCACTGGAATAAATATGCTTAGCTTTTCTTAGATCATTTTTCCAACAATATTTGGAAAAATGGACCCCTGCTGTGTCACAAACCATTAACTGTGTCTTTCAACAATTAGCAGCTTAAATCAAATGCTGACTGACAGCGTGAAACAGTGATGTTTCCAGGTGGAAAAAATATCTTTGAGGATGTGCAGTATTAACTTAATTCAGACGCGAACTAGAATCCTGCTGAATGGCACCCTGTCAGGAATGGTCCTCATTCTGAGGCAGAACGTCAAATATGAAAGTAAATGGATTTCAGAATAAAGGCTACCATCTGTGATACTGTTCATATGCTGTAGGAGCTTTCTGTAACTTTCTACACCAGGGAGCTTGCAATCTCTCGAGAAGCACCTTCAATATATGTTGTGTCACACTCTCTGGAGTTCCTGTTTTTCATTTCTGAGCAGTTCTAAAATGAAGAAATTCTGGCAGATTTTCCATTTGGTTTCAGCATTGAGTAGCTCTTTGTTTTTGCCATCTACCTGAATCAGGTGTGAGCCACTTGAAGAAGGCTTCCATCCGAAACGTTGTTTCCTTTCTTTTCTGTCTGGAATAATCCCGTTACCTGTTCCTTTGCAGCCTATGCATGCTGACGCAGCTACCTACTTGAACTACAAAGATAAAGATGGATTTATGAGTTTCCTAGTTTTACATCACCCATAATCTATTTTAGCTGGAAATTAACACAAAGGCTGTGCTTGCCATATACACTTTGTTATTTACAAACACGTTGTTTCACATTTGGGAAAACCCTGCCTGTGAATAATTCAACAGATACTGTACTAGAATGGGTGTAAAAAGGCAGACAACCATGTAATGTCAGCAGACACAGACAGAAGCTATAATAATTTCAGAAAGAACCAAACCAGAATAAAAAAATAGAATCCAGAATATTACCCAAGTTAGACACATCTCAAATGTTCAGTACAAGGTACAAAAACTTTGTTTTTCTGAACATTTCTGGAAAATAGGTAGCTTCTCCAAAAATGATATTAAAAAAAACTTCAGACCCTTAGACAAAGAACTGAAGTTTCATTTAAGTCCTTTTTTTCATAAAACATCACCAATCCTGGGATGTCAAGTGACAGACTGGTCTGCCAGAGAGGGGCTGAATTTCATGGATTCAGACTGAAATCTGATTGTTGCAGCAGGCTCTCAAGCACAGTGACGGCAGGCAGGGGAGCTCTGCTACCACACATTCCTCTTTCCAATGTTTGAATCAGATATGCACTTTTCATGTTCATGTTTATGTATGAATGCACAAGGAGGAACAGAGACCAGGTAGGAGGTGGGTTCACACTATTTTCTGAATAATATAATTTACAGCAGTGATATTACAAGCAATCTTGTAAAGAGCAATCTGAAAGCACATGAGCCTGGTTTCCAGTGTGCCAGAAGTGAGAACTTAAGTCACTACATCTTGCTCCAATTCCTTCTTCTTCTGCTCTTCTTTTTAGAAATGGACCTACTGTATGAATCCTTCAAATACCTTTGCTGTATCTCAGCTGCGTTGTGATGTATCCTTTGCTAGCAGTCTGCTACATAATTACAATTACTTGTTTGTAACAAATTATTATAAGTTTAAAATAGAGCTATAACACACATTCCCATTAGTAGAAGCTACCGTACATTAAGAAAACTATAACAAATTGTATTTCAATTCCTACTTGAAGAGGCTACATAAAAGTTGTGTAACCGTCCCCCACTCTTCATCTTGGTCCAACGTGAACAAGACATTGTTTGACACTATCCTGCATCACATTCTCTCCACCAACCATGTAACTACTACACCTCCTCCAGGCATGCCCATTTTTGCTGGCTCCCCTCAACATGACACTGCATACCTTGGTAAATTGGTATTGTGTATGAAATCCACTGCCTGTTTATTAGACCCCATTCCTACTGTTTTATTTCAGTCTTGTTTTTCTGCCCTCTGCCCTGTTGTCCTCAACATAATAAATGAGTCCTTGAACACCGGAATGGTACCAATGGCCTTTAAAACAGCTGCGGTAACCCCTGTGCCTAAAATAACAAATATGGCTCTGGACAATCTAAACAATTTTCACCTTATATTCAAACTACCTTTACCTTGCAAAATTTTTAGAATGTACTGTTGCAATTCACTCAAACAACTACACGATCTCATTGCATAAAAACTCCATTCTGGTTTCAGACAGTTACACAGCACTGAAATTGCCCTTGTTAGTAGCGACTGCTGATTCTGGTTACTTTTATCATTTATCATTATTCTCCTTGATCTCAGTCTTGCTTTTGACACTTAATTATATCATCTTACTTTATGTGTTTGGAGACTGTGTTTGGAGTTTCTGACATGGTTCTTAAATAGTTCAACTCTTATTTTACTGAACTCTTTCTCCAGTCATTGGAAGTTTCATTTCACACCTCTCTGCACCCATTCTGACTTCACACCTCTTGATTGGCCTCTCTTTCTGTCCCC